CCGAGGCGATTAAGTGCATTCTGAAGTTGCTATAGAGCGCGCAGTGTGTGTATGCGGATAGTGACAGATTCTGATAGCCACCACTGTGGCTAAGCATGCCAGACTGCATACGTCCAAACTGTCCCTTTTCGACTCTGTATTCCGAGGTTAGTGATCACTGTGTGCTCTGGGCGTCATAGTTACAGCCGTCATTCCGTGCAATTACCAGCAAGNCAGGGGTAGTTTGATTGCGTATTCTATAGTATTGCGAATACTCTGAAAACAGATGCAGAATTCACAGGTGCTTTTCACAAAATAAGTTGATAATGACGAATGCAATCTATGAAGAAATTCTGAAGGTAACAGTCTAATGCTTGGAAATGCAATGATCAGTTTTTCTGAAACATGAAAGTCGTTCGTTTCGGATCTGATCTGGTGAGTGAAAACTGTGCATCTCTGTAAACTCTGCATTTGTGGAAGTGGTACAAAGGCCGAAAGTTATCCACACGAGTGCATAATGCCACTACTGACATGATTTGAATCACCAAACCTTATATAACCGGACTTAGTTTAATCTTCGCAAGTGCTGAAACATAAGAAAAACTTACCAGTCTCTGGGGTTTCAAATAATTAGTATGACGGCTGTTTTCACAAAGTTTATAAGTTGATCGGATTCGATATACTGGATGACTATTGATAACCAAACATAATACAACGCTTTAAAGCTCGATACCGATAAGTGGGCCTGCATACCAACAGACAAGAGAATAAAAAGACTATGTAGGCAAAATATAAAGCAACACTTCACGTCATTGGCATTGATCTGGAAACAGTCTGATTCACAAAATAGAGACAGGTTACTGATCACTATGGTCTCTATACTTGGGGTGAGAAATCCAAGGAAGTCGAAAAATCCTGTTTAATCGCATTCCCCTAACTGCTATACACACACCGTCTTAACAAGTCAAACTCTGGAATCAACAGTTCCGATCATCATTACCACGACTATTCCCTGTTGCACTGGGGCTTCGATGAACCATTTTCCTCCTGATGACCATTTGAAGATGACCTTATTTTTCATTTAACTGATTGTTTCCTTCATTTTCCGAACAACGTTGGGTCTATCGCTTTATCGTAGAACGTACTGTATCCTTTAGGACAAAATCATTCTGAACAAAACGTAAACGAAACAAAGCTTGGTTTAGTTCAGTTCCGTTTTCACAACAATTAACCATGAATTTGGATTAGTGTTTTGGATTTCGGGTTGATGAAGGGATTAATGGCAGGTTGCAATGTTGAGAGCATTGTCAAAGTGAAAATACGGAATTCACGAAAACTGAGACTGTTAGGTCACTGATTAGATACATGATAGCCACGGCACAGCCATATCACTTAGTGTCTCTAACCATCGGTTCCGAATTCTCCATCAACGAAACTGAACGTGAACTATGCGAGCAAGTTTATTGGTCAGGTTTTTCATACCTTGACCGTACTTGACCTTCATTCATCCAACAGCTGCTTCTGCCAACAACGTGCTCCAAAATACGGGAAACAAAGGATCCAATCAACAAAATCTAAGGAAATTGATAACTTGCTCAAATGGACTACACTGGCTACCTAAAAATGTGCATAACTTGTCCTATTGACAAATCAGACTCGTGCAATGTGACCAAGACCACAGTGTTGTAAAACCGATAGTCTATCTCTATCTTACTTTCTTATTGGTCAAGTCTCAGCACTGTTTAGCAAAACTACCCGAAATACTTGTGGTGATCGTGTAACGAGTACGCACTCACCGTGGTACAGCTTTCAGGTAACCAATCATAAAAAGGAATAAACGACCAATCCCGTGGTCTCAATTGGCGCCAACCGGATTGGCTGCATGCAAACAAATAAACCATATCGTTGTCCATTGGACATTCAAGAATCGATCAATGATTGCTTGTTGCTTTTGATATATATCTGCATGATTTTCTGAATAGAATTAACTGTATCCACAGCTCTTCTTGGTTCTATCTGACTTTACGCTATTCAGTGGGTTTTCAGTCCGATTCCGAGTTCGCGTTATTCGATTTCGATTCCTATTCCGAATACTACAATTGGCGTCGCGGCATGGAGTTGCGCACAATCGAATTCCGTAATCTACATTCACATCCATCTGAGATTGAAGAATGGGTCGAACAACGGAACGGAAAGCAGGAGCAATCCATGCCATGTCTCACGGTTGGTGGAAAGGAAATGTATTCATTGAAGAAGAATCTCGTTTTCTCCGACAATCCGGCCAAGTTACCATTCCCGACGCTGAAACAATTGCTTCTTTCCCACGGAATTCCTGTTGACTTCCAAGCTACTGAGAGGGCAAAATTCAATTCGTTGGTTCGTGCAGAGTCAATGCCCTGTCGAGATTTCACCCCGTTGCTCAACAAACAGTCCTCCAAGTGCAATTATGGAAACAGACTGCAGGAGCAATTGTGTGATCGCCTTGTTGAGGGCACTAACTATATAACTCTCCAGAGAAAATTGCTTGAGAAAACAAATCTAACACTTTCCGATGTTTGGAGGATATGTGAGCAGAATGATGATCTCACTGAAGCAACAAAACCTGAGTCGTCTACATTATCTCAGAGTAGTTCACGAAGCAATAGACCCGGGATGCAGTCCAACTCTTCTCGTGATCAGAAGACAAATTACTCTGACCAGAGGACCCCAAACACGAACATCAATCGGTGTATGTCGTGTGGACAATTCCATTTGCGGTCCACCTGTCGATTCAGAGATGCAAAGTAGCATTCCTGTGGTAAAGTTGGTCCTATTCAGAAGATACGCCGCCGAAGGAAATGCAATATGATCAGTTTTGGGGGTCGACGGTGAGTCAGTATTCCCAAAGAGTGTCTTACCACACGAAAAACTCGAATGTGTGCTTAGTGCGATCGACCGACTGGAGAAGACTGGTGTTATTTCCCGAGTGATGTCATCAACATGGGCGACTCCGATTGCTGTCACGAAGAAAAGTGATGGATATGTGGTGATTACCGATTGACACTCAATCCTCGATTGCGAAAATGTGCAGCGACGACCATGGAGACAGAGGATTTCACGGAATCCCTACAAGGTTGTCAGTTTTTCTCCAAAATTGATCTGGCAGATGCCTATCTTCAAATTCCATTGCATCTAGATTCGCGGGCATTTACGACGATCAATACACCGTGGGGATTGTTTCAGTACAATTTCCTCTCGTTCGGTTTTCATGTATCATCCGGAATCTTTCAGTCCACAATAGGCAATGTTGTGTCTGCGTTACGCGATGTTATGGCATATCAAAACGATGTGATTGTGTTTGGAGCAGCGAAAGAAGTACATGATAACAATTTGAAGAAACTCCTTGAGCGATTCATGGAGAAAAATGTGTGCATCAAACCATCTAAGTGCATGCTTGGAATGATGGAGTTGAAGTTCCTGAGATTTACTGTCCGTTCTAAAGGATATCAAGCGAATCCCAACTGATTCAAACCTCTAGCGAATGTGGAATTCCCGAAAGATCAAAATTATCTATGATCGATTATGGGATGTCTTAAGAATTATTCACGATTTATTCCTAATTTCGCCACTAGGCCATAAACCTTGCTTGTCGAGTAATCCGCAGCGGACTGGAAATGGACCGTGGACTGCGAAAGAACACTTCACGAATTGATACGGAACATCACAGAACGTCCACTCCTGGCATCGGTTTCTCCATCAAAATCGATCACACTGGTGACAGATGCATCCGAGGTGGGCATTGGTTCCACGTTGGAGCAAGAAGAGCTTCCTGTGATCTGTATTTCCCAATTGCTCAACCATACGGAAAAGGGATACTCCCAGACTAGTAAAGAAGCCATGGCGGTGTTTTGAGCTGTCCGGAGAGTGCACAAGTAATTGTTTGGACTACACTTTACTATTGTGACGGATCATCAAGCGTTACAATTCTTATTCAACCCTAACAAGTCTATCGCTGAAGCAACAGCCGCCATGATTCAACGATGGAGTATTGCACAGGCAGCTTACGATTATAATATTATGTATCAGCCAGCTAAGACGATTCCACAGGCAGACTCCCTATCCAGGTACTCAAACCTTGGCGCCATCGAGAAGTGTAATTTGGTCGCCCAACCATCACCGGTTTCGAGGGAAGCGTTGAGAAAATATGAAAAATAATACTACTCAGTGATTATTTCCGCCATATCGAAAGGATG